TTTTGTACCTATAGGCGTTGCGTAGTGTTGTCCTATATATATATATATATAGGAAAAAATTTATATAAGGTTAACACCTTAAAATGTAGAATTAAGGTACACCTCAAAAATCCCTTGAAAAAGGTTGTTTTTTATGTTGAAAAAACATCTAATTAATCAGCTCAACATAAAGATGTATGAAAATGGAGAAAGAACGATTTTCAAGTCCCAAAAATAGTACATCTTGGACCAGCCATTTTCATGATTTTCATGCGGTTATAGATCAGCTTGATTTGAACCATTTTTCGAGTTTAAAATTTTATAATTAGAGATGAAAATAGATTCTCATGCAATCCTAAGAATTTTCAATGCCAAAATTGCATCTTATTACAAAGTTTGGGTATGCATATGTGTGTATATATGTATGGAAAACGTTTATATAAGATGTCAACCTTATAATGTAGAAAAAAGAAGCCCATTAAAAATCCACTCGGAAAGGTTGTTCCAACTCTAGAAGACCCTCCATTTGATCATCTCGACCTCAAGTTGTATTGATATGAAAAAAATGATTTCAAGACCTCAAGATGTATGGATAAGGAAACAAGGGATTTCAAGTCAAGGAAATAGTGTATCTTATAACGAATTATTTGAAATATCCATTTTCAAGAATTTCAAGTGCTTATAGATCTATTCCATCTCTGTCAAGTTTGAAGCTATAAATTTCATAATGATGGGAGAAAATAGATTTTCAGGCCATAGAAAGGTTTTTCAACACCAAAACTGCATCTTTAGGCACGGTTTGAAAGTATGCCTTACTTTGATTGTTCAAGTTTGGGGCTTATATATATATATATGGAAAAAGTTTATATAATACTCCAAGCTTATACTATTTCAATTAAGGTGCACCTAAAAATCCTACATAAGAGAGTCTTCTGGTGTTGAAGAACCCTCCAATTAATCATCTCGATCTCGATATTAAGAAAAAATATCGACCGGACATGAAGAAAAAAAAAACTCTAGACCCAAAAAATAGCACAACAAGTTATTCGGACCGTCCATGTTCAAGATTTTCAAGTGTTTATTGATCTGTTTGATCTGTGCCATTTTCAAAATTTTAAATTTTATAAATAGGGATGAAAATAGATTTCAATCCATCATAAGGTTTCTGATGCCGGAATGACATCTCCAAGCAAATTTTAGAGATGTGCCTTAGTCTACAATATAAGGAGGCAACACAAACCTCAACCTATATATATATATATATATATATATATATATATATGGAAATGTGATTTGAGAGAAAGATTTCTTTTCCATTTGGTAATTGATAATTGATATATGCATATATATGTCTGCATGGGTGGGGAGAGAAGGGGCGGAAGAGAGAGAGACTTCTAATGTACAAAATTTAGCAAAAATCAGGTTTAACATTCAAAATAAAGTCTTTATTAATGAATTGAGCTCACTAATGACTAAATGTTAGTTTGCAAGTTTTGTTAATCAATTAAGCTAACTAAACATTGGCCTTAAGCAGATACATAAGTGCACAATCAACATTATAAGTGGAGTTTCAAATCAGTATATTTTGTTACTTAACACAAAAATATATAAGAGGAGCAAAGTAGAAAGTATGATTTAATTCATCATGGGGAACAAAAATTACCATCTGTTCGAGGGCCTCGTTGGTCTCTTTCCTCTCTTTCATGAATACCATCAAGCATTGACATGAAAAATTCATGAGCGTCCTGCTGCTCATAACTTGCAAGATTTGCTGCATGTTGCCACCAGCTGCCAGAACACCAAGTCCTATAATGAGCTCTTTAACTACACATACCTCTACATACAATGCAGCCAAAAGCCCAAAAGTATGATTTTGGAGGCAGTACAGTGATTTATAGAGAGAGAGAGAGCATATACTATGCACCATACAAACAACGTTTTTCAGTTTACATAGAGAGAGAGAGAGAGAGAGAGCATACACTATGCACCATACAAGCAATGTTTTTCAGTTTACATAGAGAGAGAGAGAGAGAGCATACACTATGCACCATACAAGCAATGTTTTACAGTTTACAGAGAGAGAGAGAGAGAGAGAGAGAGAGAGAGAGAGAGAACGTAGTACGTACGAATAACGTAACTAATATTACTATAAGTAGAGTACGTACGAACGAACGTACGTACGACGTACTAACGAAAAACGTAAAAAA